CTTCTCTCTGCTTGAGGGGTGACTGCAGCTGAGAGTGGTCAGGAGCCGCCCCCAGCTGCTCTCCCCCCAAAAAAAGTACCAGCCCAGAGAGAATCCCTCCTTTCAGCAGGAGAAGAGGAAGACACCACCCCCCAAAATGGGAGATGGACTGACTCCCCCAAGGAAGCCACAGGCTGGAGTTTGCAAGCCCTGGGCCTGGGGGGCCTGCTGCTTGAGGGGTGACTGCAGCTGAGAGTGGTCAGGAGCCGCCCCCAGCTGCTCTCCCCCCAAAAAAAGTACCAGCCCAGAGAGAATCCCTCCTTTCAGCAGGAGAAGAGGAAGACACCACCCCCCAAAATGGGAGATGGACTGACTCCCCCAAGGAAGCCACAGGCTGGAGTTTGCAAGCCCTGGGCCTGGGGGGCCTGGAGGGACGGGGCCTTTCGGACGGGGTTCGTTCATAAGGTCGCCAGGAGTCGGAGGCGACCGGACGGCACCTCACAGCCAAGGCAGGGGCCCCTCATGGCAGAGGGATGAGCGGCCGAGAGGGGGGAGCATCACTGCCCCCACCCCCGTTATAGATTCTGAGCTATAAATCCCATACTAGAACCCTGTGAGAGTGACAGGCTAGGGCTCTGGAGAAAAGGGTCTGGATCCCCGCTCGGCCGTGGAAACCCACTGAGGGTGGGTGGGACGGAAAGCCCAGCTATTCACTGTGGAAGAGCAGCTCGTTTAGAGTGGGGGGGGGACCTTGGGGTAGATCAGAAATAATCTGGACCCTTGCTAGGAGCCGAACATTTTCTCTCAGACTATGGATGACCCCACACGCACACACAGTGTTGGAAAACAAGCTCTAAACAACCAGCAAAAGTTGGGCACCCACTTGATGATGGGTTCATTTTTATGCCGCCTCTCCCAGGATAGGGACTTCAGAAACTGATCTAAAACATGCAAATAAAAATAACGAAGGACAACATTTTTAAAATGCAGTACATACAGATATTAAAAATGACATTTACTTAAGTCATAGAGACTTGCACGCACTACTAAGGGGCAGGTTGGTCCAACCACTAGATAGATACACACAATTGTCCATCTGAGGGATAAAAACTCCTCAGAACTGAATGTGCTGCTCTAGGTCATGCCCGGGCCTCCATCTCCCAGTACAGTACTGTGTGTGGTGTCTGGCTGCTCAGCTCTTCTGAGTGTGATCTCTTGGTTTGCCTTCCGACCTTATTACTGCTGGTCTTTAACCTCTCTTTGGATGTTGGATCGTCTTTCAGCCCTTGCTTCCAGTACAAACCCTTGCTAACATTTAGCTGTCCTGCTTAGGAAACCCCCCCCCCAAAAGCAAGAGAAAACTCACTCCCGTCAGGCTTGGAGGTCTGCATGCTGACCCTCACCACTCCACTTCCCACCCCCTTCTCTTGTCCCTCCTCTCCTAAATATTTTGGTTGCTGAGAGCTTGTCATCAGATGTTTCACACACACAAACTTTTTTTAAGGTAGCCCATAGAAAGGAGAGGACTCTGATATATGTTTAAAAGTTGTGCGCAAGTGGAAATTCAACCAGATGTGGCTTATCATGTCTTCGTGCAATTCACCTGTCTGTGGCTGCAGCCATTGAGGGCTGGAGCCGCCAACCCAGAACCAGGATGAAGGCAATCATTTCGATTTTGCACCACATCAGTGGCTAATTAAGTTGAGGTTGTGTCGTGAATGAATTTTCCAACACACTTCTGGGGAAAGCACTTGCATTGTCAGAAGCATCAACTGGGCCACTAAAAATATGAAATACAGGCGGGTTCTTGAGTCCTGCTGCGCTTCATTGTCCTGGATGCTGCAAAGGTGGAAGAAGAAGGGCAGAAATGTCCAAAAATCTCTTGTCTGGAGCATTGAAGCTTCAGCTTAAAACTAAAATTGCTAGATGAAAGTGGGGGGGGGAGTGGCATTTTTGTAAAGGGCCAGTCGTCCTTCGAAAACATGACAAAGATGATGAAGACCCACTGCTATAATGCCAACCTATTTGGTGATGCTTGTGAGGAAAGAGATGGCAGAAATTAAACAATTCAGCAATCTAACCATATACCCTGTTAAGGACGGCATTCATGAAGCTAGCATTAAGACCACCCATTCAGACAGCTGAAATATAAATGCTATTCATTTGTTTGTATTATTCACATGCCACCTTTTTCCCCATAGGGGACCCGAAGTGGCTCACAATAGCTAAAACTATACAACGCTATTTGCTCTAAAAACAACCCTCTCAAAAGCAGAAATGTAAATTAAAACGGGAGACATGAATGACCGAATAATATTAGAGTTAATGGAAGAGAAATGGAAAACTAAAGACTTCAACTGCAAAGAACTACACAAGAACATCACAAAATTGAGAAAGGCAAAGGAGTGATGCTTCCAAGTTGCTATTTTCAGCATCAGGCAGTCAGGTTCAGGGTCTGCCTCAGCTGCTCCTTGCAGCCTGCTGACAGGTGGAGTCCAGGGGATCAGAAAAAGTCCCTCGATTTTGGCACACGGCAGCCAGCGGCAATTCTCCCAGATAAGGCCGGCCAAATTCTTGCTTATAGGTAGATCCATTATCATTCGGATCTCCCTTTCTCACCTGGCTCTGTTACTGCTACCCATGTGAGCACATGTCTCTCGACAGGTACCCTTTGGAGAAAACCCTGGCCACTAAACTACCTCCTGACAAATCAGACAACTTTTCCACTTTCTTTAGCATCAACTCCACCCATCTGTATCTCTTCCCCCCACCCCGGCCCACCCAGAAACAGTTCTTACGTGTCCATCCTATACCATTTGCTCATGATATTTAGCAAAACATATAATAAGACACACCAAGCTTTCAATTGGATTTTATTTACAGGAGGACTCCACTGAGTTTATTTCAATCTGAAGTGCAAAAACTGGCAGCTGAATGCATATTACCTGCAATATTTAAATCCACATTCCATTCACCTCTTGAGGCTTAGATATGGGAGACATTGCTGCATTTTTACATATTTATTATAGACAGCAAGAATAGCAGTTTCGATTCACTTCTGATTCACTTTCATCGGTTCCATATGCAGAGGTACTGACACACTGAATATTGGCTTTTTCCGGTCGCAAGATAACAAAGCCAAGGGTTTGGGGTTTTTTTGCCTGTTAGCATTTATTTTAAATATAACAGTACTGTAGCAATATTTGGCAAAAACACTGGCAGCTCTTTAAAAGCAGCTTAGGACTGTGTCAATGAAAAAATACTTTTTGTCTCTCTCTCTCTCTCCTGAAAAGTAAGATTAGTCATTGGAAGTAATTCACTACACAGTTTTAAAAAACAAACCTTGCATTTAACTGCAAACAGGGTAGTTGATTTTACTAATATCAATTGCTTCAGTAAGGAAGCTTTGATTTTCACCAAGCGCAGTATTCTTTAAAGTTTGCTTGACCCAGCATGGAAAGGTCATCCTAATTCTGCATGCCATTAAAAATGTATTTCAGCAAACCACGTTCTGCCTTTGGGACACATACATATCTGTCATCGGTTTCCACCTAGTCTGCTACTTATCACTTTATATATACATACACTCTAAAACTGGAGCAAAATAGGAGCAAGAGTACACAAACACATCGCTCTAGTTACTTTGCTAATATACACTTCTTAATAGAAAAAGAGGGAAGGAATGTAACAGAACAGATATGAAGAAAGTTTTTCGTAGATTTTTATTTGTGCACCCTCGTCAGGTGAAAAAGGGAACGTCCACAGCTTCTTTGGTGCCCGACAGTCAGCATACAAAAATGTAAAAGATTATTCACAAATAAAAACACAAGCTCAACCTAAAGATGTGTTTCCCCAAGTTAGTGCATCTCATGACAACTCTGCTTATGAACACACAGAAATTACTGCAGAAATAAATAGAATGTCTTGTAGAAAGCAGCAATTTCGTATCTTGTAAACCTCTGTTTTTTACAATACAGCACTGTTCAAAACTAAAATCCAAAAGGGGTCGGAGCGGATCACGGTGGCCCAAAGGGTTCCGCCTCCTCAGCAGCGTTGGTCCAGTTGTCCTTTCCTGCCCCACCTTCTCTGTTGCTTTTAGTCCAATGTGCAGCAGTCCAAAAGGTGCTTGGTTAGCTCACCTAACCCCGAAGTGGCAAATTTATAAAATCTCTTTCCTGCTTTCGAACACAAATGGGTAGATTTGCTCCACTGCAGTGGCAACGGCCTTGACGTTTGGCCCTGAGAATAAATAAAAAGGGGGAAACCTGAGGGACAATCAAGACAGGCTTGAAAGCATGCGCACGCACACACACACCAAAAAAGTCCGAAGTCCAATCCACATTAGTATTATTTGAACTTAACTGGTACCAAACCTAATTTTCTTTAGTGTTCCCAAAACAACGAAAACCAACTGCTTGGCACTTGCCAAGGGCAATACTGAAACTCCAGCCCAGAAACCAGTGTAGAGCCAAACCAGACCAGACCCTCCCTTAATGGACAACATAAATCTACCATCATATTTTTGCCTTAATTACTGGTTTGTTTGTTTAATATTTTTTATTATTTTTCAGAACAAAAACAAATACAAAAATACAAAATACTCACTATACAATCTAAACTACCATGCACCCCGTACCCACGGGACCCCTTAGAACAGTACTTTTAATACGAACTTCCTTTCCAAAATTGTATTGATTGTTGTTTAGAGGTTTTTGCCTTAATTACTGGTTATGGAAATCCATCCTCACAACACTGGACGGTGGTGGCGGCGCCGGGAGATCCCTTTTTCTCCCCTCCCCTGAATCAGCAGAAGGATTACCGTCATCCCAGCACATCTGGAACTTTTTGGACATATCCGTGATGAGAGTTTTTCCCTCCAAAGTTATGGGTGGCTTCTGCCCAAATCACACTGGGAAGGAAGAGGCAGGACTGAGTGCTATGTGTTCCTGGTTAGGACAACTGCCCTTCCGCAATAAGAGCGGTAACTAAATTGAACGTGGAGGCCCAGCTCCACACTACATCCTTTGATTAAAATTTAGAGGTGTCCCCTTGGCTTTGAGGAGTGAGTGGAACAGCTTCAGCCAAGTCGCCTAGCTGAAACGTGTGGCCATGCCATTTGCTAAGAAGTTGAAAGGCCCTCCCTGCTTACTGTTGCAAAATGAATTAGAATTTAACGCTTGCTTTTTCACCTGCTGAACTTGATCTGCAATCACAGTTCACTCGGTCAGAATGCAACTGGTCACAGAGAACATCTGTCAGAACGATAGTGGAAAGCCACCCACAGGCTGACCTGATCTACAATAAGACTGAGTTACCTGCACTTCCGCAACAAAGGCATTTCTCATTCACAAAGGGTGTGTATACCTGTAACCGTGATACTTCCTGTTGAAAAAATCTGTAGAGTAGCTCTGAGAGATTTTATTCTATAGCACACGGCAGGGTGAAGCTCTGGTTCATAACTAGAAAGCAGAAGAGCAATGTTGGTTAAAAACAGTAACAGTAACAACAACAAAACAACAACAACAATAATAATTAAAAAAATAAAAAAACCAAGATGTGAAAGGAAGAGAATGATGTTGCATAAACAAACGAGGTAATGAAAGGGTTTATTTAAATTCTACTATACCTAGCATGCGGTCTGTTGTTTTTTGTGAATTCCGGCAATCGGATTTCAAAGGGCATGTTGCATACTGCTAATACATTGACCACTTTGAAGTCTGTAAAAATCACCTTTTCAAAATAAAAAGAACACAAGTGGAATTGTGAGAAAACATTACATCTGAAAACAGAAGTCTTGCATGCATTTGGCCTCATTTCAACTACAAGGTGACAGAACAAAAGCACCTCCGTCTCAGAATGGTTATAATTTTCCAACCCACAAGGCAGCAATTCCCCCCCCCCGCCCAAATAACCTTTTGGCTAAAATGTTCTGCAGCATCCTAGAATCATGAAGTTGGAAGGGGCCTATAAGGCCATGGAGTCTGACCTTTTGCTCAAGGCAGGAATACAAATCAAAGAATACCTGCCAGGTAGTTGTCTTTATATTTCTCCTGAATGCCTGCAGGGTTGGAGCATTCACACTACCTCTCCAGGTCATGGGTTCCACTGTCATAGTGCTCTGACAGTTAGGACGTTAGCATTATCAATAGTGTATTAATAGTGCATTAGCATTATTTGGGTCCTTTTGCGGAGAAAGGTGGCATTGAAATATTTTAAATAAATAAATAACAGTGGAATCTCCTGGGCCTCTACCAATGTAGTAATCGTGTTCAATTACTAAAATTTTGAGGAAGGAAAGGGAGTTTGCAGCTGTTAACAGGTTAGATGTTAGAAGTCGGAGCACAAAGAATCCAAAGCTAAACAGCTGTAAGTCTCGTTGACTTAACTGGCAGAGAGAGAGAGCAGAAGGCACCAAGTAAGTACACTTCAGCTGGCGTTAATTTCCTTTCGCCAATGGAAGCAGGACAGACGTCATCCCCTTTCCCTCGAAAAGTTCCCTGCGTGCCCTAAAGTCCTGCTCTGGAGCTCCCCTGTGATGGGAGAGGCTAAAAATCCCAATACTGTACTGCAATTGCTTTTCAGAATTTATTTATTTATTTATTTATATTTATTTGATTTTACCCCGCCCCTCTAGACAACGTCTACTCGGGGCGGCTTACATCAGTTAAAACAAGTTAAAAAACATATACAGTGGTGCCTCGCATAACGTTTGCTTCATTTAACGTTTTTTTCGCTTAACGTTTATTTTTTCAGAGTCAGATTGTGCTTCGTATAACGTTTTTCCCTATGGTCGATTTTCGCATAGCGTTTTTGGGACCATGCTTCGCTTAACGTTTTTTGTTTTAGGTCCCCTGCTTCACTTAACGATGTTCATTTTTTCAATTACAAAAGTGTCTTAACTTGTTGAAAAACAGTTTTAAATGCTTGGAATCATTAGTGCAACTGCTGGAGGTTCTGACTGAGGAACATCAGGAGGAGATTCCTGCAAGCTCCCCACCCCATCAAAGTGGGAACTATCCATCAGTCCCCCCTCACTTCCACCCCACCCATGTGTTGGTTACTTTCAGTTATTTCTGGGCTGGGAAGTCTTCTAGAAGCTTTTTCTGGCACCAAAGAGGGCCAAGGGAGCGAGGTTCAAATCCTACTGCAAGGACGGGATCAGATTTAAAACACGGTTCAGCAAAGCCTGTAGACAACCTCTGGGGCTCCAAGGCCATTTATTTCTGCAGATTCACAGGTTCCCGGGGGGGGGTGTCAAAAAAAAGGTGGGGTTTTTTTTGTTTTGGTTTTTGTGGGTTTTTCAGGTTTCTTGGCCGTGTTCTGAAGGTGGTTTTTGCTAACGTTTCGCCAGTCTCTGTGGCCATGGGCTGTCCTCTGAAGATGCCCATGGCCACAGAGACTCGCGAAACGTTAGGAAAAATCACCTTCAGAACACGGCCAAGAAGCCCGAAAAACCCACAACAACCATTAGATCCCGGCCGTGAAAGCCTTCGCGAATACATTTTTTTGTTTTGTTTTTAATGGGGCAAAAACATCTTTTTCTGCTGCAGGAGGCCTCCCAGAGTGATACTTCTGCCCAAACAACTCAAATGAGAAAGGATCATCTTAATGACTCTTCTTAATCTGTTTATTTATTTGCCAGTCCTGGCAAGATGCTAAAAGCGCAAAAGGCAGAGATAACCTGAATCATACCTGAAACGGCATGAAGTGAGCAAAGCAGGACCTTTCCGTTGGGCAGTATTATGATGCGCTGGAGGCCCCGATTGTTGTAGTACTGCCCAAGACAGCTCCCTAAGCTGTGCCTGGGCAGCATCATTCCCACCGGAAGAACCGTCTGTGAGCAAACAAAACAAAGGGGAGGGGAACGGGGCCCCACACCCCTCCTTTTCCTTCCCCAAAGAGAAAGGAAGGGTGATCCCAATCAGAATGACTTTAGCTAGAAGCACACAGGGCTCAATGGGTGAGGGAAGAAGAGGGCTTGCTTCTAGAAAGCAAAGGAACTGAACCCTACTCAAGAGTAAGCCCAGTTGGATGGATCTCTGGAAGCAGAATTAAACAAACCATTTCCTGACACAGCAACACGCAATGAAACGCCATCGACCCAGCTGCCGATCAAGATTTAGTCCCTTGAGGAAATTACCTGAAAGCCAAGTTTCTGCAAACTACGGGCTAATCGTCTGGCACCAAATTTAGCTTCTTCTTCACTAGAGAGGAAAAAAACAAACAAACCGCGGATTAAGGTACCAAAGGCTTAACACTCAAAAACTGTAAGTTTTTTTTTAAAAGGAAAAGAACAAGAAAATTGCAAATGGATTGTACCTTGTAGCTCCCGTGCAAATTACTTTCCCTGACGACCAAATGGTAGCTGTAATTCTGGGCTTCCTAAGCTTCATCAATACTTTCTGAAATGAGGTAGAAAAAACACACTTCTCATTGTAAAACTTCCTGATATAAAAGCAGAAGAGGATATGGAATTAAGGTATGATGTGTACAATTTTAATAAGTGTTTTGTGCTGCTATGTTCATGTTTCCACTCTAAAAAACAAATCTACTCTGGGAGAAGCTCTGCAAGTAAAATCTGCTTTGTAAAGGTATCCTCCCTTTCCCTTCCAAGTAAGCAAGTGTAGAGATGTAAAATGATGATTTTTTTTAAGCTCTGGAGGAACAAAAGTTTTTATTCCACTGTTTCTGGGGGGAGGGAAACTGCCTCCATATCTTCCCCTTCTATTTGCCAGGAGGTGATGGGGCCAGTTTGTAACATAGCTAGGAGACAAAAATGTATAATTTAACACACTGATGCATTTTAAATTTTTTTGTTCTTTTGTACAAATTAAATTGGGATATATTTATATACAGGAGAGAAGTCTACTAACTGCAGCACCGTGTGCTACTCTATGCTACCTACCTTCGTTTTTTACATCTCAGAAGGAGGAGGAGAAATGGGAAAATGGAAGCTATTAATTTTGTAAAACAAAAATATATTATTCAGAGAGGAACAGTCTTGCCGCTAGGATGAGCAAATCCAGCAAACTAGAACAAGGCTCCCTGGAAGAAAACAGGCAGCCACCCACAAGCCATGGTGCCCCCTCCCTCACGGCTTCTCTCATGAAAATGGCAGTGCCCACTAGACGCAGGAAAGTATTTTGGGTCTGTGTTGGCTAAGAATTCACAGTGTCCCTAAGAATTGTTATTCCCTAATTCTGCAGGCAACATTATACAGCCTTTTTCACACTACCCAATTTTTGCATTCTGAATGAGCAAATCTTTGTCTTAAAAAACATTTCACTCCCTCAACACAAGAAAATAGCTTTACTGAAACAATGTATTCTCGAAGGCTTTCACGGCCGGGATCTGATGGTTGTTGTGGGTTTTTCGGGCTGTTTGGTCATGTTCTGAAGGTTGTTCCTCCTGATGTTTCGCCAGCCTCTGTGGCCGGACTCTTCAGAGGAACAGGAGTAGGAACTCTGTCCATGCTCTATTGCTGTTTGTTGGATAATTGAGTATTTTTAGCTGTGGGAACAGCTTTTGTCTTTTTCAGGAAATAGGGTGATGATGGTGATCAGCGTATTGTTCTGTTAAGGGGGAGAGATTATCTGTCACTGTGATTGATGGGCTTCTTTAGCTGGTCTTTTGTGTGCAGTGATCACTGGTCCTTGTGGCTGGTAGAGTTTGTTGACCTTCTGCAGGCTGTATTTTCCAGTGCTGGGAGCCAGGCCTTAAGTTTTAGACTTTCCTCTTTTTCGTTGAACCTCTGTTGGTGCTTATGGATTTCCATGGCTTCCCTGTGGAGTCTAACATAATGATTGCTGGTGTTGTCCAGTATCTCGGTATTTTGAAATAGAATTTCATGTCCAGCTTATTTTAGGGCATGTTCAGCTACTGCTGATTTTTCCGGTTGTTTTAGTCTGCAGTGTCTCTCATGTTCTTTGATTCTGGTGTGAATGCTGCATTTTGTGGTTCCAATATATACCTGTCCGCAACTGCGAGGTATCCAGTATACTCCTGCAGTGGTGAGGGGGTCCCTTTTGTCCTTTACTGACCGTAACATTTGTTGTATTTTTGTGGTGGGTCTGAATACTGTTGGTAGGTGTTTTTTTTTCATAAGCTTCCCTATATGGTCCGTGGCCCCTTTGGCAGAAACACTTTATTTGTGGGTGGATGTTTTCCCTCTTCAGTTTGGTGTGGCTGAGCGCATCGCAGTTATGTGCCAGTTTGCACAATCACAACGGCAAAACAGTGATGCACATGAGCCACCACTAGCGGAAAGCTGACGCTAGCACCCGTACTTACTACATCACGGGAATCCTGAAACACTTTGGTAAAAGAGAAATGGGATTTTACTTACCCCAACATCACGCTTGTAGATCACGTTGGCTCCCTCTAAGGCAATCTTTCGCAAGTTTAAATGGCATCTTGTTCGGAAGACACAGACAACATTGGTGATTAAAATGTCCAAGGCAACGTCACTCTCTGCATCCATTGGGTTGCCTTAAAACACAGACTCCCGCCAGGACACCAGGAAAGATCACATCCTGCGAGGGGGGGGGAGGGAGAGGAAGGCGCACAGGTTACATGGGTACTTAACCAATTCCCACGGTCTTCAAAGAGATAATCTAACTGGAAAAACAGAGAGGTCTATTGCCACTATATGCATCAATGGCAACATTTGGGATTCAAAGTGCTGATTCTAACCTATAAAACCCTAAAAGGCTTGAGTCCAAGCCTAAAAGATCATATCTCCCTTTATGAGCTGGTTCAGGTGTTAAGATTAGCAGGAGAAGCCTTCCTCTCGGCCCCACCACCTTCTTAGGTGTGTTTGGTGGGGGACACGGGAGAGGACCTTCTCTGCGGCTGCTCCCAGAGACTCTGAAACGCCCTCCCCCTGGAGGCGAGCCTGCCTGGCCCCATTTTTGCTGTCCTTCCGCAAGCAGGCAAAAACCTTTCTCTTTAGGCAAGCTTTCCCTGAGTGACTGGCTGCCAGAACGGAGTTTTTAAATGGGCGGTTGGGGCTTACTGCTTTGAACGTGTTTTGGTGTTGCTTATGTTTTCTTTTGTATGCTGTTTGTTTGATCCATTTTAGTACTAATATATTCACTGTTGTTAACCTTACTATTGCGGTTTAATAATATAATCCGCCTTAGGTCCTTTTAAGGAGAAAGGTGGGATAAAAATATTTTAAATAAGTAGAATAAATTTCTACTATTTACGTTGTGTGGGGAAAATCACCTGGGGGGAGGGGGAAGCACTCTTTTCATCCAGAGCCCTTTTGCTGCAAAGACAAGACTGATAGGATTCAAATCCTATCAGTTGCCTTTTCATTTTCATCCTAAGTTTAAACCAACAAGGTGTGACACGTGTCTGAGGGAACTGACAGATACCTTTGAAAATCTCTTACTTGATTCTTTGCCTAAATAGGTTGAAGAATGTAACTGTAACTTGATCCAGACCTAAAAAGCTTATTATTTATTTTATGTCTCTGCTACCTTTCTCTAAGTACATTATAGAGAACTAAAGCAGCTCACAAACGGTTAAAAAACAGATGCTGCGTAATAAGCACAATGGCACAAATCCTCTTATCTAATTACTCTGGTGTAGCACAAACCGAATAACTTTCTGAGTTAAGAAATCACTGTAAACATTTTATCAGTTGCACACTGAGTTGTATGACCCCAAAAGTTATGCCATTTCCAGAACTACAAAACCAGACTTCGACTAATAAATTATAAAATTTAAAAATGTAAATATATAATAATAATAAGGAAAGCAGTAGTTTGACAACAATTTGAAAAGGAGCCTCATGGTGCAGTGGCTGAACTACAGTACTGCAGTCAAGCCTCTGCTCATAACCTGGGGTTCAATCCCAGGTAGCCAGCTCAAGGTTCACTCAGCCTTCCATCCTTCCGATGTTGGTAAATTGAGTACCCAGCTCACCGGGGGGGGGGGAGGTGCAGCTTGCATAATTAAAATTGTAAACCACCCAGAGAGTGCTTTAAAAGCTATGGGGTGGGTATAGAAGCAGCATGCTCTACTTTTTGTGAAAATACACCATGAAAACACTAAGTGTACAACATTCCACAGTGAGACATCTGGAGGGGCTTACAAGTTATACAGGATTTAGAAAAGTGAAGCATGAGCAAGATGTGAATGTATTTTGCCAGCTCCCACATAATACAAGGGTTAGGGTTAGGCACAGTGATTTCAACAGGAGTGAAATCCCAGGTCTTAGCCATCCTCCTTCCTATGAGGTATATTCTATCTAAACAGCAACATGCACACACATATTCTTAGGCCTCTGTGCAAAAGGAAATGTGCCACTGCTTTAGTTAACAAGCTGGCATTTGGTAGCTGTTGGTATCCTGCCCAAGGCGACTGAACAAGAGAGGTGCCTGCGGGAGGAGCAAAAGCAAAATAAACTGACAGTACAATATCTTCCCTGGGAATGGGTGGAAACGACTAATGACAGGTCTCAGAAATCACTGCTTGTGGCCACTCTTCTGGCAGCTTAATGACAACAGGGAAGGAGCTCTTCAATTAATTTTGGTTAAGTACGCATAAGCTAAAACAAAATGCAGATTAGCAGTAAAACCTCTCCCTCCCCTCTACCAACAGAACCCTGCTCTCAGATTGAATTCTAATAGGTGTTTTGAATCTTAATCATTTTCTATAGCCCTGTGGATGCCTCTAGTCAAATGCTGCAGTACAAGGCCAGGTGAACACTCCCAAGCTGAATGGGACGCCAAAGGGAGCAGTTCTTATTTACCTTATAAGAAAGCATAGGAGAAGGGAGATCAGACTGGCAGTTCTTATGCCAATCATGCACACCCCCAATTCTATTTTCATAAGTACAGCAATTTCAGAATTCTTCCAGCTGACAGACCTTTTTGCCCCTTCATAGATAAAATCATACTGGGGACGTGATCAGCTGGGCGTGGGAGACAAGACTTTTCTTCCCATTCAAAGAGGCAGGAGATGCCAGCAAACACCGAGGGTCCTTCCAGGTGACTATACGTTATGGATCCCTAACATCCTTATATGTTAGGGATGTCTCTCATATGTGTTAAATACTCCATAGGCTTCAGAAGCCACAGTTCAAACTCAATCCCCAGAGAACTGTTTGGGGTGGAGAGTTCCACCCTTCTTTTTACTAGAGTTAGAAGCTGACAGCCGATCCACCTGCCCCCAAACCATAGCCAATCCACCACCAAATCCACCAAATCTCCTCTGTAATACAAGGCAAACTGCAGCATCAATACACCTGCCAAAATACTCAAAACAGCCATTAAAGGTCACCATTTGACCTGCAAAAATACCCAGTCAATTCAAAAGAATCTGTTACAGAAAGACATCAGATAAGAAGATAGGAAGTTTAGGCGTAAGATAGGAAGCTTAGGCAAGCTTCTCTAGGAAAAGGTGTTTTAAGCAAAAGACCACAATCAAAAGGTCCTTGCTTTAATCATCAAAAGTGCAAATCACAGAGGATGCAGGAGGCTAAAGACTGCATCCTTCATAATATAGTTTTTTTCAGGCATCCTGGGCTCCTCTACAGCAGGAAACCATTATAGCAGTTTTTAAGCCTGCAAGGTGGTCTTTTTAACCAGCCTGTTAGTAGTTGAACACCGGTGTTTTGCCATCAAGAGATCTCCCATTAGACTGAACCCGACTGATGTGCGCAGGCAGCCGTGAAAGCCAGTCCTGCGTGCTGCATCTTCAATGGCCCAGTCTTGACATAACCTGGAGGTGCGGAAGGTCTACCCGAAAAGGGACAGCTACCAACACCACGTCCTTAGCCGCTTGCGGGCATCACGTTCACTTGGACGTCCAGTGAAAACAGTGCAAACCCGGACTTTTCTCCAGGGGTTTCCTACCTTCGTAACGGTCACTACCAGAGCTCAACCACACGGAAGGTCAAGAAACGTCACTGCTTTCCCAACCAGGAAAACTTGAAGAAGAAAAAGGAAGACTGAACACAAGATGGGCTAACTCAGTATAGGAAGCCACCGTGCAGTCTGCAAGACCTGAGCAGGGCTGTCAGAGGCAAGACCTCTGACCTTATCCAGGTTCACCAATCCATGGGAATCACTGTAAGCTGCTGGATGATACCCCGAGGATGTTGGCAAGTCAAAGTCCCAGGTCCAAGTCTTTGGGAACCAAATCCCAAATCCGAGTCCCCATTAAAAGCAAGATCTCTCCCCATCCCCCGCCCAAAGAAAGAGGAAGAGATGGGCGAGTTCTGAGTCACTGAAAAAATGAAAACCTGACTCGGGTTACGGGTGCGAATCAAGTCTGATCTGACAGCGCCACCGGAGTCCCCCTCCCTGGACGACATGGAGCAAAATGGGCAGGTCAGGTTGCAAAGCTCAGAAGGGTTGCCTTGTTTTGGACCCCCCCCCAAAATACACAGCTCCCAGAATCCCCCAATCCTGGGTTCCTTGGGCAGCTGTTCTTCAAGAATGGAAGAAGAAAGATACTGTAAAATTAAAAAAACGACATTACCAAGGGAGGGGATGAGGGAGGGGGGGTTGGAAACCTGCCCCGAGGAGCACAGCCCCCTCCTCCCCATCCTTAGGTCTGCTTCTTTCCCCCCCCCCGCTCCCCGTTGCCCTCAAACGAGCCCCTCTCCCCGGAGGAGGAGGGAGTCCCCCCCCCGCATCCCAAAACCCTCCATCTCTCTTCCCAATGATTCTTCTTTCTCCCCCCCCTAACGGGGTTGTGGAGGAGGAAAGGGAGGGAGGGAGACGCTCCTTTCCAGGACCTCGAGCCCAATGTATGTGTGTGGGGGGGAACCGTTCCTTTTTTATTCACCCCACTCCACTCCAC